ACTAGCTGCCGTACAGAAAAGTGGATGAAAAATGGAGAACTTTACATAGGCCTTGTTACAGACAATGAGTTGAGTAACTTGAATAACATCAAATCTGCATCCAGCACATTGATAGTCTCACAAGCTATAATCCTAGAGGAGTCTCATGAAAGAAGGGAAACTCTTGTAGCGAGTGAGTGCTTGAAGTCTACTGCAACAAATGAAACTGCACTCGACATATCTTCTGCAGGAGCACCGTTTGTGATTGTGAAGGAACAAGTACTGAAGCTTCTGGCTCAGCAATCCGGGAGATACTGGGAAGGAAGAGGGTCCAGGATGAAGATGAAGTTCAAGATCAAGGCTGTGTCCTATCACCCACCTTGAAGACAAGGTGGTTTTTCAAGGGGGGAGATATGATAGGGACATGGACTTCCAAGACTAATAATAATAGTAGAATTAGACTAAGGGGTGTGATATTGTATAAATAAGGGTTTGGGCTAGGTGGTAGTTAGCTTGGGCCGGCCCATAAGGGAATTTATTATAAATAAGAGGGGAGTAGAATAAGGAGGGAGGAGAAATTGGGATAGACTTGGGAGAGGGGACTGCCCGAAGTGTCTCGTTGGGAGAGGGGACTGCTCTAAGTGTCTCGATCTGTTTCTTCTATTTTCTGCCATTGTAAGACTGAGTTTACTGTGAATATACTACCTGCTTTGAAGAAACTCAGTAAACTCACAGTAAACTCATAGGTGTGTAGTATATTCACAGTAAACTCAGTCTTACAATGGCAGAAAATAGAAGAAACAGATCGAGACACTTAGAGCAGTCCCCTCTCCCAACGAGACACTTCGAGCAGTCCCCTCTCCCAAGTCTATCCCAATTTCTCCTCCCTCCTTATTCTACTCCCCTCTTATTTATAATAAATTCCCTTATGGGCCGGCCCAAGCTAACTACCACCTAGCCCAAACCCTTATTTATACAATATCACACCCCTTAGTTTAATTCTACTATTATTATTAGTCTTGGAAGTCCATGTCCCTATCATTTTTTTTTAATGTTGGCCAGATACAGTCTGTAGGGAAGCACAAGTCTGACTGTAAAGAATAGGTCGGAAATATTGAGTTGTGGTGCGTGGAGGCATATGAGAGAGGCGAGGCTGCCAGGAACTCTGGGATGTTTAATTTTGACAGAAGTAGTTGAAAAGAAAATAGGTTTTTGAAATATAATGCTGCTGAACAGTATGCTTACTGTTTGTCCCAGCAGACTAGATCTCCAAATCAAGTATACCATATTTTGATTAGAGGAAAATATAAATCATTGCATTCATCCGCCACAACAGAATATACACGGGAATATAGCTGAAGTAAAGAGAGATAGTGGTATATAAGTAAACTCTAGCTCTGCAATCGGGTAGGCTAGAGAAAGCAGTATGTACTTTCTAGCTCTGCAATAGGATAGGCTGTAGGCTAGGTCTACTGTAGGGACACATGCCTGCTGGAATGCAAGATGTGATATTAGTTTCAATAGTTATGACATGTGATCAATCGTTAGCATAGTATTCCCAGTTTTTCATAACTGCAATTACTTTTTCATTCTATATTACACACCTATCAAAGCAGGTAGTATATTCACAGTAAACTCAGTCTTACAATGGCAGAAAATAGAAGAAACAGATCGAGACACTTGGAGCAGTCCCCTCTCCCAACGAGACACTTCGGGCAGTCCCCTCTCCCAAGTCTATCCCAATTTCTCCTCCCTCCTTATTCTACTCCCCTCTTATTTATAATAAATTCCCTTATGGGCCGGCCCAAGCTAACTACCACCTAGCCCAAACCCTTATTTATACAATATCACACCCCTTAGTTTAATTCTACTATTATTATTAGTCTTGGAAGTCCATGTCCCTATCATTTTTTTTTTAATGTTGGCCAGATACAGTCTGTAGGGAAGCACAAGTCTGACTGTAAAGAATAGGTCGGAAATATTGAGTTGTGGTGCGTGGAGGCATATGAGAGAGGCGAGGCTGCCAGGAACTCTGGGATGTTTAATTTTGACAGAAGTAGTTGAAAAGAAAATAGGTTTTTGAAATATAATGCTGCTGAACAGTATGCTTACTGTTTGTCCCAGCAGACTAGATCTCCAAATCAAGTATACCATATTTTGATTAGAGGAAAATATAAATCATTGCATTCATCCGCCACAACAGAATATACACGGGAATATAGCTGAAGTAAAGAGAGATAGTGGTATATAAGTAAACTCTAGCTCTGCAATCGGGTAGGCTAGAGAAAGCAGTATGTACTTTCTAGCTCTGCAATAGGATAGGCTGTAGGCTAGGTCTACTGTAGGGACACATGCCTGCTGGAATGCAAGATGTGATATTAGTTTCAATAGTTATGACATGTGATCAATCGTTAGCATAGTATTCCCAGTTTTTCATAACTGCAATTACTTTTTCATTCTATATTAGCTGGATGATTTTCCTCACAACTGACATTCTAAATTACTTTTTCCTTAATAATAAAAGCTGATGGAATATTTTGCAATGGAGCCAAAGATTCACAATTTTGTTGGCTTGGCAATATGATGAAATAAAGCAAAATGGCTCACTAAACTGTTTGCGCTTCTTTGTTATGAAGCAATTTTTGACGCGGTTTTGATAGGAACCAATCTTTACGGTAAGCAGTAAACAATGTACAATAGCGGCAAACAGAAAGAAAGAGAAGAAAATACAGATCGAGACTCTTAGAGAGGCCTTACTCTCCTGATTCCCAGTCCAAATCCCAACTACTGCCTACCTCTTATTCCTTACTTAGCTTCTATTTATAATATTTTCCTTACGGGCCGGCCCATAACTAAATAATACCAGGCCTGGACCCCCTAAAACATAATACTCCCTCCGTCCCTAAATGTTGTTCCAATTACGGATTACGAAGGTTGACCGACAATAAAGTTAAATGATCCCTGTGAAAACTCGGATTATTTTTAGTAAATAAAATTTACATATTCAGAAACTACATTAAACCCGCTACAAAGCGTGCAAAAAATAATTCAACTTTTATAAAATCTTGATATAAAAAGTAAGAGTTTAAGAGTGATTTAAGTTGACCCTCGATAAGCGAAATGGAACTTCTTTTAGGGATGGAGGGAGTAACAAATATGTAACATTATTCTATTATTCTTATTATTATTCTCTTTAGCCCAATATCCAATCATATCTCCCCCCTTAGACAAGGACCTTGTCTTCAAGGTGGGTGATAGGAAACAACCTTGACCTTCAACTTCATCTTCATCCTGGCGCCTCTTCCTTCCTAGTACATTCTGGATTTCTGTACCATAATCTTCATTACTTGACCCTTCATCATCCCTTTTGAACAAAGCTGTCCACAAGACGACAACCCGGTTTAACCTGATTCTCTTCAGGGATGTTGCCACCCTGGAGAACATACTGATTGTTCTCTTGCTCAGATTTCCCGGTAGACCAGCAAATGTTCTCATAAAAATGCAACTGTTGAGGGTTTGTTAGTATGAAAAAGGAATTGAGTTCACTGCTTTTTACTTCACAAACAATTGGTACTGTAATAGTATCTCCAAATGATCCAGGAAGTTTAAGGTCTACTGACTCTACTTTATCAATGCCTTTCAATTTTGTAAGCCGAGATGACCCATCAAATTTAGGTATCATTAAAACTTCTTTAAATCCAATTCCACTCCCACCATAGACATTAGTCGAGCAACGCAATAGATTAACAGGAAACGTTCTACCTCCAGAGGATTGTTGTAAGTTAACAACGCTATCAGACCGATTTTTCCACCTTGTGGCCTTCCGAATAGTCTGGCAGAAATAAGTTCAAACAACCTCCAAACAGCCTCATATTTTGCACTCCTGCAACCTCTGTGTTTGGCTGTAGCCTAATCTCAACAATGTGGTGAAGATTTTGACCAGGTCCTTGTGAAGCATTTGGATTATTACCAATTTCAGAAGTGACACGCAGAACTCTACCAAAAACCGAGTTGAAGAATTCCATAGAACCTTTAAAAGCATCAGAAGTTGTGCGTCCAAAAGAAACTGCACTTGTGCCAACTTCAGGTCCAGCGGCAACTGTAGATTGCTCCTCGTGTTCGTTGTCCGGATTCGGTTCCTTGATTACCGATTCAATTGGCCTCAACTCGGTATTCATTATCGACTGTGGAGTCCACAACAATTTATCTACGGAATCAGCCAGATTTATGGTTCTGGAAGAGGAAACAAGGAGATTCTTCTCTCGATCGCGAACTCTGATGCAAACCGATAGCAGCTAAAGAAACCGCAATGAGAGGCGACGATACCTACGAACTGAGACTAGCTATTGGCAACCGCTGCGGAGAAGCAATTTGCGACTGCGAACTGGAAACAACGGCTATCAACGACGAGCACTAGATTTTTTAGATGGCCGACGACATCTAGGACTCCTCGCTCGGTCTCTAGGTCACTTGCGACGAAGTTTGCGCAACATGTAGTGCAACTCATCGATCACTGATCGCACATCAGTTGTGTTCCAGTCGATTCTCCATTTGCGACCTGGCAAATCTCATTCACTGGCTACAAGACCGAACTGCTTTGATACCAATGATAGGAAGCAATCTTCACGGTAAACAGTAAACAACGTACAATAGCGGCAAACAAAAAGAAAGAGAAGAAAATACAGATTGAGACTTTTAGAGAGGCCTCACTCTCCCGATTCCCAGTCCAAGTCCCAAGTCCCAACTATTGAGTACTGCCTACCTCTTATTCCTTACTTAGCTTCTATTTATAATATTTTCCTTATGGGCCGGCCCATAACGAAATAATACCAGGCCAATATCCTATTAGGTTTACACCATAGGTCATCCGGAAACAGCCTCTCCCCCCTTAGTACAGGGGTAAGGCCACGTACATCCGACCCCCCTTACCCTATTGTCGGTGGGTGCCTTTGCAGCACTGGGGTGGTGATGATGAGTGATGATGAATAATAAAAGCTGACCTTTTGGGTTCACATTTTCAGGCAAAAGGCCTAATTTCTAAGCTTTCAGCTGAGAGGGATTCTGCCATTCAAATAAATAACAAGCTCCGGCAGGAATTGGTAAGAATATATGTGTGTGCATTTATCTGTGTGTGTGAGTGTGCATGTTTGCATTTTTATTATTAGATATTACCAAGTGTTTGATTTTGATATAGTAGGCTTAACTGGGAGTCCAAAACAATGATTTAGTCTCGTAGTCATTAAGGTGTTATTAAGACATAATTGGAATACATGAATTATTCGTTCAATCAAAAGCCAATTTGTTTGCTCACAAAAAAATTATTACTCCTGATTCAGATGTTTATTCAGCCCCCTTTTCAAGAAACCATGATGGATTGATTAGATGTATGTTAATAAGTAAGATTACTCACTGGCAAGGCGGCCTAGAAATAACCTTAAATTGGTTACTTTATTCAATCCTTATTCTGTACACCAAGTGAACCAATTAATCTAGAATTACATTTTAATCTAAACACGACTTAATGGGAAATTAAGTAAACAGTACGGGTCCTGTTGTTAGATGGCAGCCCTGTCTGAATGGCATGGCTGTTGTTTTGACACCCATCACAAGAATAATTGTGTAAATAGCTCGCTAAGGCAGTGGCTTGTACTTGTACTTGTACTTGTACTTGTACTTGTACTTGGAGTGCCTTGACTACTTGTCTTTCGTTTGCTTAATATTAGCTATTCTGTTGTTATAACAGTTGATCGTAACAAGATACCAGTTTTATTACTTTTATGCCTTATAAGTAGCTATTTAATATCAAACAGTATTTATAGAAATTAATGAACTTATCGTATTGTCTCTAGCATGTCTATCCTAAACTAATTTCTTATTCATCATAATTGTTTCACTTTAGGAACTTTTAAGACGGGAATCAAACAAAAGTCGAAGTGGCATTCCGTTTATGTATGTTATTATCATTGGTTTGCTTGGTATTCTTCTCGGCTATCTTTTCAAGAGGGCATCATGAAGGCTGCATGACATGGTTTCCCTGATACGATGTCCAATCCTCTGGCTCTTTGGAAAATTCAGAAATCTTGAAGAAAGTGTGACTAGTTCAGGAAACCTTTGTTATGATTTGTTGTCTGATTGACTTCAAGAATTAAAGGAACAGGTGTTATTGGTTCGTTGGCAGAGCTTCAAGAGCAACTTTTGTGGTTTTCTTTTAATTCGACATTATTCTTTTGTACTTAAATTTATGGGTGTTCAGACTTCAAACTGATTGTGTGCGGTGCTTAACTGCCCAATTGGAATTTGGATGTTAAAGTTGGTTAGTTGACCTCTGAGATCCCATTTGATGGCTGATGGAGTAATGAATAACTCCATGTGGTCTTGACGCAACCAGATAGAGATCTATTGTAGGAGCTGATCCTTAGACTCTAAGGAGGTGTTTACTTCACTGCTAAAGTCACAGTTAGGTTAGTAAGACAGGTGAAGTAAACACGCACACTGCTTAAAAAGCTGCTTACTAACCGAAAGAGGTGCTTAAAGTGCCGCTTATTAAGCATACCACCCCCCATGTATTAATTAAGCGGCACTTTAAGCTTTTTCAGTTTCCGAATTTACCCCTTGCCCTTAACCTACTGCTATCCCTGCCCCACCTCGACCCCAACCCCACCTACCCCGACCCCACCCTACCCCCGACCCCACCCCACCCTACCTACCCCACCCTACCCTACCTAACCGACCCCCACCCTACCTTACCCCGACCCCACCCCTACCCTTACCCCACCTACCCCGACCCCACCCTACCCTTACCCCACCTACCCTACCCCACCCCGACCCTGCCTACCCCACCCCTACCCTACCTAACCGACCCCCACCCTACCCTTACCCCGACCCCACCCCTACCCTTACCCCCACCTACCCTACCCCTACCCGACCCCACCTTACCCCTACCCCTACCCGACCCCACCTTACCCCTACCCCTACCCCGACCCAACCCAACCCTACCCCATCCTACCTCTACCCGACCCCACCCTACCACTACCCTACCTACCCAATCCCACCCCTACCCTACTTACCCGACCACACACCTACCCTTACCCTACCTACCCCACCCCTACCCACATACCCGACCCCACCCCACCCCACCCTATCCGACCCTACCCCCTACCCCGCCTCAACCCCACCCTACCTACCGAACCCACCCTACCACTACCCTACCTACCCAACCCCACCCCTACCCTACCTACCCGACCCACCCTACCTACCACTACCTGACCTCAATCACACCACCCTATACCCCTTACCCCACTATACCTAGGGTGGTGGGGTCAGGGTGGGGCCGATGTGATAGAGGCGCTAGGGGCAGGGTAGGTGTGGTGGGGTACGGGTAGGGGGGTGGGTTTGGTAGGGTAGGGGCGGGGTTGGGGTAAGGTATGGTAAGGTGGGGTCGATGTGGTAAGGGCCTATGGGGGTAGGGGCCTATGGGGTCGGGGGTAGGGTTGCGGTAGGGTGGGGACAGGTTAGGGTGGGGTCGGGTAGGGGTAGGGTCGGGTAGGTAGGGTGGGGTCAGGTAGGTAGGGTAGGGGGTAGGGGTAAGCGGTGGGTGGGGTCGGGGTAAGGTAGGGTGGGTAAGGGGTTAGGGGTATGGGTACACATATTATATTATATACTTGTGTTCATGAATGTTTGTGTGTATATATATGTATAGGGTTATTTTGGACATTTTAATGTTAAGCGGTGTTTTAAACCGTTTGAAGTAAACACGGTCTTACAACATTGTTTATTTTATGCGCCGCTTATTAACACGGGTCTTAATAAGCACCGTTTAATAACCGGTGAAGTAAACATGTCCTAAGTCTTACAATCAAATCAGATTCAGGTTTAAGTATTTGGTAGACATTGGAGAAGGCCAACGCTATGTTAACACCACCTTACACATGACCATTTTGCATTCACACCTATGTGTCTATATGGATGGACCGGTTCGGGCCCGGTTCGGGCCTGGGCCCGGCCGGGCCTCGGTTCAGAAATGGGAGGCCCGGAACTGGCCAGGGTAATCCCGGTTCTGGTTCGGGCCGGGCCTCGGTTCTATTTTTTTTTTTTTTGGCTTTTCCTAATTAACCCCCAACCCTCCCCCTCACCCCCAAACCACCTCAAATGGCCCAAAATACCAAGCCCAACCTAAAAACTTAAAAAAAATTCAAAAATAATAATAATAATAATAATTTGGCCCGAACCGGGCCCGAACCGGTTCGCCAATCAAAGGGCCCGGGCCCGGACCGCACAGTAACCGGGCCGGGTTGAACTGCACAGTAACCGGGCCGGGGCCGACCCGAACCGGTTCCCGGGCCGGGCCGGTTCAAACAGTAACCGGGCCGGTTCCGGGCCGGGCCGCCCGGCCAGAGTCCATCCCTATGTGTCTATGTGAAGGTGGCTCTAATGGCTTGTGCGTGTGTTTTCCGTACACAGAATGAAGGTGGCTCTAATTGCTTTTGGAATCTGAGGATCAATTCCCCCCCCCCCCCCCTCGTGATGGTGGTCTTCGAAAAGCAGGAGGAAAGATTCTCCATGTTTTAATATGATCCTAGAGAAAAGGGGCAAAAAAGCCCACGTACTAACCAAAAAGGGTCAAATAAGTCCTTATATAGAAGACTCTGTCCGACCGTCACAATTTGGGACAGTTCCTAGTGGAATTTTTTGATGATTTTTTTAACATCTTATTCACTAAGTCTAATTTATTCATACCAAATTTCATCTAAAACTTCAATCGGGAAGGCATTCAAACGAATTTTGAAGATAACTGCGCTGTTAACTACACAGTTATTTTCAAGAATTCATTTGAATACTTTCCCGATTGAATTGTTAGCTGAAATTTGGTATAAGTAAACTAGACTTACTGAATAAGATGTTCAAAAAATGTCATAAAAAAATTTCACCGGGAACCGCCCCAAATGGCGACGTCCGGACAGAGTCTCCTATATAAGGGCTTATTTGACCTTTTTTTGTTAGTGCGTGGGCTTATTTGCCCCTTTTCTCTAACTTGTCCCCCACCAAAAAGTCATTTATCAAAGTCCCCCACCAAAAAGTCATTTATTATATAATTTGATAAGTACTACTAGCTTGTTATCTGTTCGCAATTGAAACTTTTTAGTTTAGTATTTATTACTACGTATTAAACAAGCTTCAGCATGGGAGTTGTGATTAATTAGAAAGTAACTTGGAATTTTGTACATAAGCAAATTTAGAAACAAATAGGCAATGACGAAATATATTCAGTAGATTAGCTTGAAGACTTGTTAATAGAAGGACTTTGGTAATGTGTTAGCACCATTATCAAAAAATGAAAATTAGCAGTATTAGCATGAAATGAAAAAAAAATGTGTTCATCAACCTCTAATGTATCTAAAAATGAAAAAAACATATAGTTTAAAGTATTAGCATTAGCAGGATGAAGATATTGGTGTCTAAGATATTGACCCTCCAAATCTCCAATATCTTGGGATTAATAATTGATTGGGAAGAATGAAGAAAATTTGAGACTGATTAGATTAGCAATGCATTTTTAAAAAATGGTTTAAAATGAAAGAAGGAAGAAAATTTGGGGATGAATTAGATTAGCATTGGTGTCTAAGATATTGACTCTCCATTTCTGTTTCGCCTTAGCAAGGTACTATCTTTGACAGCATGGCCTCCTATCGTGCTAGTTAAGTCGTCTTGTAAAACCCATTATGTTATGAAGACACAGATTTCATCTTAAGAAGTCAACATACTAAGAGTAAGAGGGTACCCTAATTAGTGCATGTGCGTAGTATTGTAATTAATGCATTACATGTGATTTTGTAAATTTGTATTATTTTATATTTTATAATTGACTAAAAAAAATATTAATTGACTAATATGGAATGACATAACATGTTCTTATAAGATGGTGTCTCTTTTAAACAAACCAATCTTAAATTAATGTGCTTGTTGTTGATGCTGGGTATTACCAACTAGGATCGTATTATGTAGTTAACTTTCTTCATGTTCAAAATATGATTCTGTCGTTTCTCTCAATAGAAGTAATATATTGAGTAATGTCATACTATTGTCAATGAGTATTGTCATCAAAATATCATAATGTCATACTAAGATCACACAACCATCCTTTTAATGTCTAATAATGTCATAAATTTCAAAATCGCAATAAATTACTGAAATAATTACATATTCGTGAATCATGACTAAAATAAAGTGTTTACAAAAATGTGATTTGTGACTATAGTAGCAACTTAATTATAGTAACTTATGTTCAATTTTTAAACTTAAGTGATCACGACACTATATTGTAGTAAGCATTAGTTATACTTGTGTAAATAAATTTTATTTTGGTAACATTTATGAAAATAACTCTTATTTACCTTCTATTTATGAGGGTAAAATATTACTCATATGTAAGTAATTCGTAATTACTTTATTGTCACTTTATCAACCACATAGTTTTACTTTAATTAAAAACCACATCACTCTCCTTTGTCCCAATAATAAGGAATATAAGTAGTAATAATTTAACACTGTGATTCAGATTTCAGAAATCAAATCTCAGATTATTTTGAATTTAACTGCGTATATATTTTAAAGGTTATTTGATTTGATTATTGTTGCTCAATACTTAAATATATCATTGATAATAGTTAATAGATTATGAATTTACTATGTATAATTCAACATTTCAGGCTTCATATTATATGTAATTTAATTTGCATTTGGAATCGTAACCTCCAAATTTATTAGACTATCATGTTTTTAAGCTTTTTAAGGCTGATTGCAACCTTGGGGTGAAAAATCCGGTTTTGGACTTTTCACCGTAAAAACAAGTGCAATCCAATGTATAGTGATTAGAGAAGGGCCAAAGTGACTTGGAGGCTCCTTGGGAGTGGAATTTTATAGCTTTATTCACGGTAGAATGGAGTTAAAATTAGCCTAATGGAGTTGTGGAGAATTTGATTGCGATTAGCCTAAGAGCAACCGCAATGCTGCTCTGTGTAGTGCGTGTAAAAAATGCCATATGTCAATTAATGAAATGGATTTCTAATCTTAATTGTACAAAGTGAACTAGAGAACTTTGAGGTATAAAAAAAATCTTCCAATGCATAAAGTCTATCGCCCAAGCACTAACAGAAATTGCAAAATAATGAAGAAACGTCAAATTCGCTGCTGCTATACCCACCGATCCCATTCCAGATTCCACAGGGTGCGAGTATTATTTGTTTTCACAACTGTAATTTTCAAGTTTTCAATTAAACTCTCATAAAATTAATTGTGAAGAAATTACACATCTGGAAGGAGACCTTTTGCTGCTGCGATCCAGAGATTAGAGAAATTGAAATTCACAATCGAGGGGATCTACATACCTGATTTTCTATGTTTTATTTTTGAGATAAGGGTCAGATAGG